TTATTTTGACAAATAATTTTCGAAAACAATAAAAATAGACTTTGTAGTCTTTTCAATCTGAATTAGTTTTAAATTATTGTTAGTAAAATCTTGACTAATTTTGTGCTTTAGAATTAAGTGAATGGAAACTATTAAATTAAATCTGAATTAGTAGAATTCTACTAACAAATAGCAAAATTGTACTAATTTGTCAATAGTTTTCACGGACTTTTTCCCTTTTTAATTAGTAGAATATTAGTAATATTTTACTAATTTTTTAGTAGGATTTCACTGATTGCTTGTCATCTAATTCACTAAATTACTAATTTGAATTAGTGACTGACTTATTGCTTTTGAATTAGTAAAATTTACTTGTTAATAGTAATTTCTACTAATTTATTAGTAAAATTTACAAGTTAATGGTAATTTCTACTAATTTATTAGTAAAATTTACTAATTCAGAAGCAAAATTAGTGAAAATTGACTAATTGATAGTAAAATTGTTACTAAATCATTTAGCGGACGACTTTCATCATTACATCAGTAATTTTCTACTAATTCAGATTTAGAGAGTTGAGTAATCAGTTGGTGAATATTTTAGCCAATTTTGCAATAAATAATTGTAATAATTTGTTGTTTTTAGTAATTATTTATTTTTAATTAATTCAATTATTTAATAATTGGTTATTTAGTAATCAATTACTGTCAATTTCTCAACTCTGTTTTCCATAAACTGTTTAAAGAGGGAAATGATTTTATAAAAGATCAGGATGCGGATTTTTTCAACACATCTGAATTAAGTTTTAAGTTACATTTGCGCAATATTTTGTTTTCAAATTAATGTTAGCCAGGCCATTTCTTTGATATTTCAATTTACATAACTATTTAAATATATTATAGACTGTTATAGAGAATAAATGACTAAAAATCAGTTAAACTTAATAATATTGTTAGTTACTCAATTTTTACTAGAAAAATTTAGAATTTAATTTCTAACTTTAATTTTACTTTAAATTTGAATAAAATTCTAAATAAAAAAACTTCTTAAAATTTAGATAAAGAAAATTATTTCAAATACTCTCTAAATTTGAATTAATTAAAACTTACTAATTTGACAGTGAAAAGTCAGTTACTAATTTAAATAGTAATATTTCTACTAATCTACTAATTTTACTAATAATGACTAATTATTAGTCGAATTTAGTTTTAGATTATTTTAAAACAGCTACATTATTTGTAACTAATTCGATTAGTCAAATTTAATTATTTTCTCAGTTATTTATTTACTAACAATTATTTTCTAGTAATTATTAGTTTTTTTTACTAATCATTGAATCAAAAAGTCAGTCAAGATTTTGCTAACAATTAGTTATTTTTAACTAATTAAGATTTAGAGAGTAAAGTCGGAATTAGTAAGAATTGAAATTAATTTGAATTTCTGTTTTTTTTTCTAAGAATTTTTTAAATTTTACTAAAGAATTAGAGAAAAAGTACCTACATATTTTTGTATTATAGTAAATTTGTTACTACACTCAAATCTCGCTATAACGACCTTCTCTATAACGAGCGCTCTCTATAACGAGGGCTCTGTCTCTCGGTATAACGAGAAAAATTTTCTTCCTATTACCCATAAACAAATGCACATTCTGTTGATTTAAATTTGGTTAAAATCAATTTTATTTATATCATAATGAGCCTAAAAAGTCACTTCTTTTTTTAAATTATATCAATGAGTCGAACATCTTCAAAATTTTAGCTTATATAAATTTTCTGTACGTTGAAGTTCAAATTAAACTAGGTTACGTTTGAAATTTTGACATTACGTAAATTGTAAACACAAAAAAAATGAATGAAGAATCTTAAAAGTGGGGATTTTTCATTTCTCCTCTTGCGCTCGTAATAGAGGGAGACTTGACTCCCGAACTTCTCGTTATAGCGAGATTCGAGTGTAATTCATTAGAAACAGTTCGCATTACTAATTTACTGAGATGAAATTTTTACTAATCTGAAAGAAGTAGAGAATTTTATTCATTTTTCTCTGAAGAATAATATAGTTTATTCCCTTTTGTACATCTGTCAAAATAAAAAAATGTATTTATTACGAATTGAAATTAAACTAAAAACAAAATGAAAAGTGAAGTTAAAAAACATTAATGAAGACATTAAAAATGTAACAATATTTGTTAATTCTGTAAAATCAGTATAAATCTTATAAAACAAATAATGTTTGTTTATTCTATTTTAATAATATACAGAAAGGAAAAAGACGAAATATACAAATAAACAATATTACACAATATAAATATAAATAGTAAACAAATTAATAAGCATAAATTTATTTTTATATTTATTTATGTTTAAATAAAGTTTTAAATATTTCATGAAAATAAATAGAAATAAATGATAAATAATATAAACAAAGTGTGATAAATAAGTCTTTGAAATATTTTGAAAAAAGGTACAGAAGTAAAATAAACAGTAACGTTAAAAATAGTAGCGAGCAAAAATTTAAAAGATAAATAATATTAAAAACAAGTACAAAATCAGAGAAAAGTATTAAAAATGAATGTAAAATACCTACAATTTTTTTATTTTAACAGTTGTACAGAATAACGATATTTTTTGTTTGTACAACAATATTTTTACGACAAGTTGATCAAAATAATACCGACCCGATTTATATTTTATTCTTTAAACTATATATTGTGGCAATATTAATTTTTCAAATAACGTTACTAATATTACAATATACGATTTATTTGCTACTATTTTTTCCAATGTAATATCAATTATGTTCTCTGCTTTTTTTTATAAAACTTAGCATGACCAATTCGTTTCATGCAACACACTATTATATGTTTTTAACAAGCACAGCATTTATTTCGTAACGCTTTTTCTCTTAAATTCTCTATACATGATTCTTCTTTTTATTTTTATTTATTTATAATATGTTACATTATTTTCCTCGTATGATAATTCAATTTTTTTCTCGAAGAAAATCATTATTTATTTATTTCGTTCAAAAACTGGTACAGAATCAGAAATGCAATGCAAAGATTGTTATGTTTAAGGTATGTTATCAAGAAAGCCTCTTTTTCGTGCAATATTTTAATGTAAATGCACGTCGCGTGACACCTTTCGCATTATACACTTATTGGGCTTGTATAACACAAGTTTTTCAAAAAATTTCTTACGAAAATTTTCTGAGGGTTTGTTTTTTTGTTGATGTTTACAAATTTTGATGAAATTTTAGTGATTCTTTTAGATTCTTTCGTTTCGTTTATTTTTGAATTTAGAATTTTTTAAGTACTTTTTTTATAGTTGAAGTTCACAAAAAAGGCAATTTTTATTTTAAAGTTTCAGAAATCTTAATTAGGTACTACTTACTTTAAAAAATTTAAATTATAATTTAAAAATCTGAGGAGTGATAATAATTTATAAATTTACAAGTTTCAAAAGTGTAAATTGCAAATTTGATAGTTAAAAATTTACAAGGTTTAAAAAGTTTAATTTCAAATCTACGAATTTACAAGTTTCCAAAATTTAAATTGCAAATTACAAATTAAAGAAATAAAATTAACTTAGAAATGAAAATTTTTTGTAAATGTTAATTTTTATTTCCAAATCTGCAACAAATTTGTAAAGTTTAAAAATGTATTTGAGTTGAAAATTTACAATTTTTAAAAATTAAAATTTCAAATCTTCGAATTTATAAGTTTGAAAATATTTAATTACTATAGGTACATACTTTACCCAATGTAAATTATAATTTTAAAATTTAGGAAATCAAAATAACTTATAAATTTTAAAAGTTTGAAAAATTTAAATTACAAACTTTAAGTAAAAAACATGAAATTTATTTTATATATTAAAAATTTTTTTAATGTTATTTTCAATAAATTTTCAAATCTATAAATTTACAAATTTACAAATTTTAAAAATGTAAATTATAATTTAAAAATTTAGGAAGTGAAAATAACTTATAAATCTTAAAAGTTTGAAACATTTAAATTAAAATTTTTCTAAATGTACATTTCAATTTTCAAATTTACAAATTTTTAAAATGTAAATTATAATTTACAAATTTGCAACTTTAGAAAAATTTAAAAGTATAAATATCAAATTTTAAAATTATATTTCAAAACTAAATTACAAATTTTGTTAATTAACACAATTTGTTATAAAAATAATTGTATGTTCGCCAAAAATGAAAAATGAATTTTATTCAGAATTAATGTCTTGTTTATATGTTCGTGTGATGAAAAAATTGCCTTTTGTATAAGTTAAATATAAATTTAAAAAAAAACAAGTCATGACTAAAAGTAACACTAAAATTTGCATAATTTTCAAATTCCCTTGACGGATTTTGGGCACTGAGCATTAAAGAACATACAGTAGCCGAGTAATAAATATTATTTACCTGTTAAATATTCAATATTTGTAAATTTCACCGACTTGCGGCATTTTATACGCGTTCAAAATTCTACGCGGAATAAACAATGCGTTACGATTTTTTTTATGAGTCTCACAACGTAACGCAATTATTATTATACATATATATATTAGATAAATAGATTCAAAATTGCATCTTGTCATCGCGTTTCAAGTCGATCACACTCCATTTTTTTTGTTTCTGTTTTTTTTTGGTAATAAACGGATGCATAGTACAGAGTGAATCAGTAATTATCATTAATGCGATTTAAAAAATTGGGCATTGTATAAAATTTATGATTATATGTTTATATATGTTTCATTAGGTATTATTGAAAAAATTGTGCAATTTTCTCGCGAGGGAATTTTCGTTTTTTTTTCGATAAGATATGAAGAGTGTTATATAGTGTTTATTATTTACATAAAATGTTTTTTTTTTCATTTGGAAAAATCACTTACAATTTGCAAAGTAATAAATTTTTCTTGTTCTTTGTTGTTAATGATAAATTATTTTTTTGTGATTAAAATTATCATGTTAGTATATATATATGTAATTTTTTTAAAATGATAATAGGAAAGGAAGAAAAGAATAATAAATGTAATAATAATTTGTATAATCTGCTGATTTTTTAAGTTTACAATTTACATTTACAGATATAAAATATACTGTGCAATTCAATTACAATATGAGCAATTAGCATATATTGAAAAACGAGTCTATTTTATATGTCAAATACATTTTTTTTACAATATTTTTCTCTTTATGGGAATTGTATACACACGAGAGAGTAAATGGTCCAAGTTTGAATATCTGAATTTTAAGTTTTAGAAAACTAGGTTTTCTTTTTTTTATTTTACAAGATTAAAGGACCAATCACAAGACGTATACAAGTAGCAAATTTAAGCTTCTTTTTTTATTTTTTTTGGAAACTTTTGATATACATTATTTTTTTTTTTGATTCACTCTGAAACACTATACTCGCGCTCTCGATCGACATAAAACCTTTATAATGAGAATTCGATTATAGTATATATGCAATTCTTATTAAAATATTCAGTGTAAAAATAGCAGGTATGTCGCAACGCTCGCGAGGAAAAGGGGGAGGGGGGAGATTGTGTGCTTATCGCTTCGCGTTATTTATTATTATTATTATTTTTTTTTATTAATCCCCGCGAGTACAAAATACAGTGGAAACAATATTGCAATAGAGCAATTTGCGTACACATTTCGTCGTCGACTAGAAAAAAGTATTGCGTTCGCGAAAACATGATTTCTCGTCTCCTTTGGTAGATTTTTCTTTATATATATAGAGAGAGAGAGACACATTTATATAGAAACAATTGAGTCTTCCTTGTTTTCTTCTTATATTTATATAATATTTATGACAGAGTTGTATTTGCCATTTTCTAGGCAAAAAAAAATTTTTTTTTTTTTGGTTTTTCGTAATCAAACTTTCAGTTTGAAAAGAGACAAATTCTTTTCACTTTATTTTTTGGACCTTAGAGAAGAAAATTTGTGTCCACTTTTCTCTTGATTTTTATCAATGATGAAAACAAAAAAAAAAGAAAAAATATAATAATAATCTCCTTTCTTTGAACGTTTCTCTTCTTTACGTGCCCTGGTGAGGCACTGGCATGTTGCTGAACTATTTTTCTTTTTTTTTCCTCCAAAAAAGAAAGCCGTTTTCAGCGGTTAAATTTTTGTCTGCCACGGGTAATTACGAAGCGAACTGATGAGGTCACTTTCAAGTGACGTCCAGCACACGACGTTTTATCCAATCGTTGGCGGGTTGCTACGTCAACAATTTAAAGAACATCAGAGCTAGAGATATGTTGATAAAGAGTACCAGCATCACAAGCTGCTGTCGCGAAAACCAGTCCTGAAATTTTATAAGAAAAAGACATATTTTATTCGTATTTTTTTGTTTTTTCTTTTTCTTAAAGCGATTTTTCATATGATTTATTTTTATCTTTTTTTTGGGGTAATTTTTCACTGATTTTTATGGTTTTATTATTTTTTAAAAAAGCAGAAAATTGTCTGTAAAAATAAACTTGTTTATTTTTTAACTTGTTTCTTTAAATTTTCTGTTTCCTATAATTTTCAGTAGAAATTAATTAATCCTCTCAATTATTTTTAGTGTTGGACAAAAAGTTTCATTTTTTCACTGATTTTCAGTTTTTTATTTGATTAAAAAGCAGAAAATTGACTGTAAATAGGAAAACTTGTTTCTTTTTATTTTTTTTGCTTTAATTTTCTATTTATTCAATTATTAATTTCTTTTAATTTTTTTCGTATGTAACAAAAAGTAGAAATAGTTTTTAAAAAGATTTTTGGATTCTGAAATATATTCTTTGAAATTTATTAAGTCGAATTTCTTGGATCAAAATTTATGAGGCCGAATTTTTATTTGAGAAAATTTCATTTTCATGAATTATTAGTTATTATTACTGAACTGAATATGAAAATGCAGAATTTTTTATAATAAAACATTTTATTCGAATTTCTACTGAAGCTAATTTTTATTTAACAGCTTTTTTTGTAAACAGGATATTTTATGGCAAATTTTCTAGTTTATTGAAATTTTGTTTAATAGAAGAATTTTCGTAATTTCAAAGAAAAACATTTTTGGAAAAACAGGTATTTGATCGATGAAATTTGTATAAGTGCACATTTTCATTTAATGGAAATTCTTATTTGTCGGAATTATCATTTATCAAAATTTTTATTTTGCTCAATATTTAGAATTTTTACTTTTTTAGTAAAATTTTTAAAATGTCAGAATTTATTATTCATCAAAACTCTATTTATCCAAGTAAAAATTCAATTATTTAAAAATTCGGTAAAATGGAAATAGTAATTGTTTCATTTAATTTTAAATTAAATAAATCCAACTATTTTGTCAAACAATTTGACTATGCAATTTTAATTAATTTTAATTTAATTGCTAAGAAATTTCAATGTTAAATAAAAATTATTTCATTTGATTTTAATTAAAATTAATTCAAATAATTTTGACAAATTTGGTTAAGAAATTTTAATGTTAAATAAAAATTCTTTGATTGAATTTTAGTTCAAATTACATAATCCAACTATTTTGATAAAAATTTTGGTTAAGAAATTTTGTATGTTAAATAAGAATTCTTTCAATCAATTTTAATTCAATTTTATTCATAAAAAAATTTCGACTAAGTAGAAATTGTTATGTTAAGTGGAAATGAGTAGAAAAATTCTAGAAATACGTTTTAGAAAAAATCTGTTAAACAAGTGAAACAACAATATATTGCTTTTTGCCATTATCATTAGTGAAAATTATTTGCCTTAAAAAATAAGTTTACTATAAACTATAGTTTCTATAAACTTTCAGTAGTTGTACAACTTTGGTTAATTAGAACTTTGATAATAATTTTGAAACCCTGGAAATTCGGTAATATAATTTTGAGAGAATAAATTCCTTAATCTTCTTTGAGAACGTTCCTCTGCAACTATTCCTGCGAGAGAAAATTGATTTTCTGCGTAAATTTTCTTCAAATTTCGAGAAATTCTTCCTTTATATGTAAGTACCATAAACATGACAAAAATTTCAGAAATTTTCACAATGCTGAAATTAAGACAATTTGAATATTTCTTTATTTTTTAATTTTCAATTATTAGAATTCAAATTTTCTGAAATTTACCGCATAATTAACTAAATGAAAACGTAAATTAACCTTCTTTCAAAAACTTAAATTTAAATTGAAATGAAAATTGTTTTTTACCATGAAATAGTTGAATAATTTTAAATAACTTTAATAATTTCTTCAAAAACAAATTTTTAATTTTTCACTAATCTTCATTTCTAGAGAAACGTTTCTAAAATTAGCGTCGACGCTAACTTCAAGGACCTCTAAGAAAACAAAAACAAAATTTAAAATCAAATATCCCTAACACTGCAAAAATAAGTGTCTTATTTGATATCTTAAAATAAGATGTTTTCTAAAGTATCTTACTGATTTTTAAGATGTTTTATACGTCTTAGATATTTCTTCTATCTTAAGAAAGTAAGATACTTCTGTAAGTTTTTTAAAGTATCTTAAATTAAGATATTTTAAATGACTAAAAAGTGACTACCATAACATCTTAGAAATGACTACCAAAACATCTTAAATAAGATACTTCTTTTTGCAGTGAAAGTTTCGAATGTTCAAATGAAAGATTGTTTCAATTTAAATTTTACTAGAAAAACGAAGCTGAGACCTTCACCGACAACTTGCATCCACTAAATTTTTAAAAATTTTATTTTGGTTCAAACAAACAAAAAATAATAAAATTTAAAATTTAATTTCCAAAATTAAGTGGGTGCTGATGATAACAGGGTGCCAGTTTGAGCTTCATAGAAAATATTGTTTTCTACATTGAAAAAAAAAATTATTTCATTGAAATAATCGACTACTTGTCTATTGTAAAATAAATATTTATTTGTCTCAAATACTTTTTATATTTGTCAATTAAATGGTATTTTTTTTAAACTGAAATATTTGGTTCAAATACAATTTATTTGATTTAAATAATATTTTTTTGATAATAATAGATAATTAATCGGTTATTTGAATCAAATAAATTTTTTTTTCAATGTGTTTTTAAGAAATTAATCATTAACTAGAAGTAAATATTTAATTTAATTGTTTTTCTTTCCAGGGGGTCGATTATGTAATTTTATTACCACTTTGACTTTAATTTTTACTTCCACTTTTAATGATTATTTTCACTTCCATAAATTTTTAATTTATAGTTTCACTTTCAGTTTCACCTTGATTAAATTTTATTTTCATTTTCACTTTGTTAGACTTATATTTTCACTTTCATTTTTACTTTCAGTTTTTTATTTACATTTTCACTTTGACAAATTTTAATGTTCACTTTCCATCAAACTGAGAGTGAAAAAAAAATTTTGCAAACTGAAAGTGGTAATAAAAGTGAAAGTAAAAATGAAAGTGAAAGTAAAATTCTATTAAACTTAAAGTAAAAATGAAGGTGAAAATGAAAGACAAATTAAAAATGAATTTACATAATCGATCTCAAGTACAATATTTTTTAGAAATATTCGAATAAGAGAAAAGGATTTCCTTCATTTGATCATTAAAAACTTTTTGGAAAATAAAATTATTTCCAAATGGATTAAAATCTGTAATTAAAGAAACATTTAATATTTTTTGGTTTATATGATAATTGTTCTATTTTCTCTTATCGTTTAAATAAATTGTCGGACATTGGCTCAGGATATTTGACCAAATAGGGGAAAGCGAATCGTGCAATCAGAGGGAGCTTATAAGCTTATGCTAAAAAAATATTCTAGTGTTATAACACCGTGCACATACTTTTTGTTAGTAACGGTGCCAAAAAATTATTGATGATTCAGGGTTTTATTTTTATTTCGATTTTTCAACTATTTTACTCTCGTTTCATTTTTTTATTTAGTGAATAAAATAATTTTTATCATGACAATATTTAAATAAATATTTTAGTCCATCTTTATATTAAAGTCTATATTTTATTTATTACTATTTATTTTAAGTCTATAAACAGTGACATTAGTCTGTAATTATTTTTTGTCAAACAAGATTTTCCCCTAATTTGTTCAAATTTTTTTGTAAAAAATTATTTTAAAAATAATTTTAATGATTCTTTTTTATTTTTTATGATTCTTGACAAATTGGAACAAAATTATCAAATAACTGATTGATAATTGATAAATTTTGATACACTTAGTTTTAAATTGACAACTATAAAAATATTCAAGAATCAATATTTTGTAAATTCTTCCACAATTATTAAATAAATTATTTTTTCGATTTTTGGAAGATGTCTATTTTAAAAAATGAAACACATCTTCCAAAAATCGGAAAAAATTTATTACATATTCGAGAATTAAAACATTTTTGATAATCGAAAAAATATGATTGAAATACTTTTGTATTGTATTTATGTTAATTATGCTTAAATATATTTTTAAAATAATTTTTCACATTTTGTGCAAACTTGTATAAAACTCTCGCAGTTGGAGAGAATTTTCCACTATTATTTTCTATGGTGGTTTTTTTTTCTAATTTCTTCGCGAGAAATTATGTGTTTCTATACATTATTCTCATGGGGTTAATTTGTTTTTCTCTCAAAACATTTGTTTCTTTTTCTTCCCGCGTCGTTAGAGAAATTACATAGGAAACCATCAAGAAAAAAATCCCGAGTAACAATGCCTTAGATATGGGGAAGTTCTCTTATCTGTTCTCATTCGTTGACAAAAAAAAACAAAACAAAAAAACCAAACGAGTGCCAGATGAAAAGAAGGCGTCCTCGTTCTCGTGACACTCACTTTAACCTGAGGACTGACTAAGTAGAGCAGAGGATTGGCCCGGAGCCTTTCGCTTTCGTCGATTTGCCTGCGAATTTCCTCGCGCCTCAAGCTGCTCAGTTTGCTGACTTCCTCCCTAGATAATGGAGCGGTCGCACTCAACTGGATCGGTTGGGCCACATCCGGCAAGGATTTTTTTCTTTGCAGGGACACTGCGGGCACTGGCATTGCCTAAACAAGGAGAGGAATTTCGTTGTAGGATCAGTCTTTTTTTCACTATAGGAATTATTATTTTATATTGGTTTCAGAGAAAAAAATTAATTAATTTATCCACAACTTACTAAAATTTACAATTTAATATAGATGCAGAAATAATAAATAAATAATTTTTTTAGACATGTGCGAATCTTTGTATTAGCACTGTGATGGTTTGAGTACAAGTTCGAAAATATTCTCGAATTATATGTTTTTATTATTGTTATTATTATCGTGTTTATCATTATCCAAAAGATACTTAATTTTTTTTATATTATTATTCAATAAAAATAATAATAATTTTTATTACTATTGTTATTGTTATTTTTAAATAATTATCGAGTTTTAAATTCTTGAATTGAAAATTTGCTCCGTCAATTTTTAATATTTAATTTAATAATTATTACAGAGTAAATTTCACAAGATCTGGAGCAAATTTTATGAACTCTTTACTAAAAGTTACTTCGAAAGTAATTAAATTTACTCCGAAAGTAGTAAAAATTTACAGAAGTGTGCAGAAATTTTTTTATAAATAAATAAATCTTTTAATCGTCGAATAATTATTAGACAGAATTTCCTTAAATTAAATTTTTATTAAACCAAATTTTCAATTTTTGAAGTTCAATTAACCTGAATATTTGCTTATTGAAATGTTTACTTAACAGAATATTATGTCACCTATATAATTATTATACTAAACAGAATTTTAATATTAGAGAATTTCTATTTCATCAAATTTTCCATTAAAAAAAAATATAATTTTATCAAATTTTTATTCGAAGGAAATATAAATCAATCGAATTTTAATTTAGTAGAAGTGTCAATTTAATTAAATTTTAAGTAAGTCGACTTTTAAATTTCAGAATGTCAATTTTAACAAAACTTCAATTTGAAAATTGACCAGTCAGAAATTTTTACGGAAATAGTGATAGATTAGATTTTAAATTTAAAATTATTTTTATATTTAAAATTATTGTTAAAATAATTCTGAGACTAAAGATAAATCTAAAAAAATTGGAGACCATCAAAATATCACAAATTAAAGAGAATTCAAAATTTAAATCCACTTATATTAATTGTTATACTCTTTAAATTAATGTCTTGTCATAAATAATTATAAATTTACAGTTTAAACTTTTATTTTTAATAACACCAAAAGATTTAAATAAGTTTTGTTTTAATACCTAAATATAAATTTTTTTTATTTTGTCAAGAAAAAATTGTCAATTTTTTACTGGCCTAATAATTCTGTCAAATTAAAATTTTATTAATTAAAAATTTGGGTTAATTTAATTTTAAAAATTGCAAAAATTTGACTTACTGAAAATTTTATTTTATTTGTAATTTGAAATTCTGTTTGTTCGTAGTGTTTGTTTAATGATTATTCAACGAATAAAAAATATAGAGTCATGATATTCCAAACAATTAATATTTTACTTTATAAATAGTAAATGTTACTTTAAATTTTTCTGTATACAAAAATTTTGTAAGGAAATTTTTCCCCAACTACTGCGTCAATTATTCGATTTATTTCAATTCAAATTGTGAGAAATTTTCTTGATTCCCACATCTCCAATAAAAATAAATATTTATTGCAAATGCTACTTAAAATAACTCCTTACAATATTCAAACTAACTTCCATAAATGACAATAATTTTTCAAGCGTCATGAATTTTTGTTTACTATAGATATTATTTATTATAAAATCATAAATTATTAATTATAATAAATTTTTATATAAAAAAATGGATAACCAGAAAAAATAATATTATTATTGAATTATTATAGAATAAATTATTTTGTTATACAAATAAATAAATTGTTAGGGGAGAGTGGGGCAAAGGCGCTATGCGGGGCAAAGACGTTTTTTAAAATATCTCCTTTATTTTCTGTCTATTTCAATTGGTATTAAAAATTAAGTTGCAATGCAATCAGACCAATTGATTAAAAAAAGAAAAACCTAAAAATATCAAATATTTTAAGAAATATAACAAAAAAATTGTTTTGCAAAAATAAAATGATAATTTTACTGAACAAACTTTTATTTTTTAAAACATAAGTTTAAGTATTTAATTTTTAAAAACGTAACATGTAAATAAATTAAATATTTCTCTACACAACTGGCGTGGTGTTTTAGTTTAATTTTGTATCTAAATATTTTAAATTTAAAGTAAAAAAAAAAGTTTGTTATGTGGGGCAAAGGCAATATTGAACATAATTTGGTTAAAAACAATTGAATATTAGAATTTTCTATGTATTAATTCACAATATAAGGTTAAAATCACTAAAAGTTTTTATTTTTTATTTAAATAGTTTAATTCTTTTAATAATATGTTGTTAACCTTATGTTTCGTAAATATTATACTAATAAATATCACTTGTTAATTTTTTTAAGGCTTATAAATGCTTTCTTTTAGAAATATAAGCGAAAACGTCGCTGCCCCAGCGTGTGGGGCAAAGGCATTTTTTCCATTGTTTTTAAATTTCATTAAATAATGTATTTATAATTATAATATACTTAATAACAACTATTAAAATTTCTTGTTGATTAGTTTTAGAATAATGAAAAACAAAGACCGCATAAATTAATTGCTTAATTTAAAAAATATACATCGATAAATGTAAATCTAGCGCCTTTGCCCCACTCTCCCCTATATTATTACAACTAATTATTGTAACTATCTATTATATTTTATTTATAATTCATTATTTATTCATCATAAAATTAAATGTTAAAAATGTCTTCTTTAAAAAATTTGAAAATTTCTTATTCGATTCGATTTTACTTTGACTTTGAACTCCGTTTCTTTTAGTTTGTTAAAGTATGAATATAAATTATTGTCTTCCTTTTTGTATTGTTTCTTTTTTTGTGTCGAAAATGAAAATTAGAACAGGTCATCATTAGATATGTATATTTGATATTTAATTGCTGCAGTGCCTAATTAATGATTACAGAAATGGTGAGCGTCTGTACCTTATAGATCAGAGCAAATTATATAGGTATTATAATTGGAAACGTTGATTCCTCTAAAGTGCTGTGCGAATCTTGTGTGCCCAGCCAATAGCTACAATTACGTGTTCGGTAATTTGTTGAACGAAATCATTGGAGAATTGCCAAAGCGTAAACATACTTTGAATTTTTTTTCTTTCCTTAATCAGTGCAAGTTTAAGTATTTGGAAAAAATTTCAAAACTCCTTTTAAATTTTTCAAATTATTATTATTACTCCCATATATATATATATATATTTGACTAGTTTTTTCGATATTATCTTAGAAATATTATGTACGTATAAATGATGTCAAAATTTTGCAGCAGTTAGAATCAGAATTGTTTTAAAATAATTTAGGTGTTTAAAAGACTTTCTTGTTGGTTTCATTTCTCATCAGTTTTGTTTTGGTTTATCATTAACGATATTTCTTTTTGATTGCGTTTTTTTGTTATTTTTTTATGCTGTTCATTTTTATTCTGTTCTTTATATACTTCTTTTTTTATTGTAGCAAAATTTTTTTATAATGGGAAAACTTTTAGATTTAATAAATTTGTCACAGACTGGCTTTTTATGGATTGAACGTATATTTACTTTGACTCTGATCATCACTCTAATAGCTATACTTTATTGTAACCTTACTTTGTTGAAGGACAATATGCTTTACGGTAGAATGTCCTTCGTTATGGATTCACTATGTTATATTGTTTAATTTTCTAACCCCAGTACATCCATTGCAACTAATCGTATAGAAATTTATTTTACCACATGAAAAAAATATTTATTTATTAGTAGGTGTTATTATAGTAAATGTTAATTTACAAGTAAATAACTGAGTTTATAAATTTAAAATTAATCAGCAAACTAAATTTTCTTTACTGAATTTCATTTACTTTTGGTTTAGTTCAATTGATGTTAGTTTGATATTTTAATTCTGACTAATTTAGACAGAAGAGATTAAATTACACCCTTTTTAAAAATTAATTTTCAAATTAAATATTCACTTTGAAATAAATGAAAAATTAGGAAATATTTTTCTCTTAAATATACCTACTAGACCATAGTAAAAGCCAGTTAATTCAAAATCTGTTGAAAATATCTATTATTTTTCTTTGCAAATTGTTTAACTTTAAAGTTTGTTATTTTTTGCTTCCTCTGAATATAAAATTTGCTTCTTTCGGATATATTATTTCTTGTTTGTTATATATGAGTTTTTCCGCATGCCGACAATTAAAACCGTCTCCGAGACATTTACTGTTCGGAGATGAAATACAAGATTTTATGTTGCCATTTATCTTATTCTAATTGTCAGTTGCATAAACAATTTGAAGGAAAGGTGAAATTACGGCTTTTATGTCATATAAGTAAATCAATATATTTATTTTCTGATTTTCTTTTTGCACACGTGGAATTTAACGGGAAGTTGCGGAGAAATTTTCATATTTTAATAAATTTTATATTATGGGAATAATTAAAATCCACTCTGGAAAAATAGATGAATTTGCTTGTTTTTGGAATTGAATAATAGAGCAAATCAGTAACAGAATCAGTACAAAATTATTTTTTTTAGTATTACCTACAGTAACTTATTAAATGTAGTGTTAATAAATTATTTTCAAGAAAAATTGAAAAGATATTTTGGCGAAGTAGCAACAAAATATTTCTAAGCAGTATTGACAAAATATTTGCAAGTAGTATCATAAAATATTTACAAAAAGTGCTAATAGAATATTTGCCAGTGGTATCAAGAAATATTCACATGAAGTATTAACAAAGTATTTAGAAAATATTTGCAAATAGTATTAAAAAATACTTACAAAAAATATTAATAAAATCTTTGCAAGTAGTACTAAAAAATATGTGTGACGCTCTTCGAAGAAAGACACCTGAAAAGCAAATCAATTTTAGGCTATGTTTGTGTCATTTTTACCTTAATTGTCAGTTTCTGTTTGATTCTGTAAAACTAAAATCAGTTTTTTAAAATTATTTTAAATGTAATAAAGATTTAAACTTCAGAGGTTTATATTCAGAATTGATCCGTTATGTGTATTTTCATTCCAAAAATTACAAACACAACCTCAAATTTTTTGCTTCTTAGGTATCTTTTTTCTGAGCGCGACACATATGCTAGTGCTATTAAAAAATATTTAGAAGTTTTAATTATATGCAAGTAGTATTAAAGATATTCACAAGAAGAATTAATAAAGTATATGATTAATAATACATTAATAATTATTAATAAAATAGTTACCACAAATATTATTATCAAAATGTTAGGCCTCGGACTCACGCGACTATTGATACTTTTTTCACTTGATACAACTATTTAGCTACTATTTTTATAAACACTAATTTCATTAAAAAGACACTAATGGTACTATTTATTAAACCGAGTTTTCAATATATTAATTTATTTAGTGCAGAAATTAATTCTAAGACTCTAAAAAAAATAAAAATTGAAGAGAATAAAAATATAAAAATGAAAGTAAATTAAAAATTAAAATCCGTTTATATTAATTTCCAAATTCTTTAAATTTGATTATAAATAATTGTAGAATTACGAACACCAAGGTCACCAAGGTCACCACTAGATGGCAGTTCAGTTGATAAAATCAGATTTCCCGCCACCTAGTGGAGATCTTGGTGTTCTCAAGTGGACAAATTAAACTGCCATATTATCCCTCAAAAACTTTTTTATAATTAAAAAAAATGTTATTGTGTGAATAATTTAAATTGTGTTTTGAGTGCACATTTATAACGTTTATTATTCAAATACAATACTAATTATTAGTAAATTTTAATGTGCGACGATTCGCAACTGTTACGAAAATTTTATGTTTTTTATTTTTTATTTCTGAATTCAGTCCGAGGCCTAATATTTTCAAACAGTATATTGAGAAAAGTTTATATACAAAGAAGTATGAACAAAATATATGTCAATAATACTATAATAAAAATTTTAATTAATGTTTTAATAATACTAATTTTAATTTCCTTTAATTAAACAATCGTTTATTAAAGATATATTATTTATAATAATAGTTAGAAAGGTGTATTTGATTTGATTTCTTCCTTTTTTTCATAAAATAAAAGTCATGTTATTAATTATAATACTGAGAGAAAGTTTGCACCTGTTCGAATACAGTTCCGTGCGTGTTTAGAATTTTTTTTCAGTTACGAGGAAAAGTATAATGTTAAATTACTTTTATTTTTCTTACCGAAAGTGTACTTTTTGTGTGACGAATGTTTCATATTTTATCACTTCGGAAAATATATAAATAATTTTATGTCTTAAAATTAATTTCTACCCTTTGGTTTAGAAGTCGTAAAAAAATTTATTTTTAAAGAACCCTTGTTAAAATTGAACTTATGTCATCTTCTTAGAAATTTTTGAGTATTTTTTTCAATTTTTTGCCCAAATTTTTTTTTAATTAAATTTAATAAACTTGAATTCAATGTTCTTTTTACATAAAAATTTCAAAAACATTTTCCTGTTTTATTATTAACCATCAAACACGGCAAGAAAGCTTCACCTGGAACATCGATAAGTTTTTCTAGATTAGCGAAAGTCCTAACTGAAACAACTAAAAATTTCTCTAATTTAATTAAATTTCAGGTAAATTTTTTTTCCGTGAAGTATAAAAAATATTGTAACTTAAAGTGGAATACTTTTGTTTTTGTAAATGATAAATTGAATGGATATTAGAGGAGTTTTCCTTTTAATTAGAAAATTACTTTTTTCTGTGTGCATTATTAATCTGTAATTAATCATTATTAGTCTGCATTCATCTGTAGATAGAGGTATTTTCTTTCTTTCACCTTTCTCCTTAGGTGGAAAGTACTTTTTTCAAATTTTTTCTTAATTTTTACTTCTTTTGTATATTGAATAAACTTTTACGTCCGAGTTGATATTAATTGGAATAGTAGGTGAAAAAAATTTTTTTTTACACGAATATTAAAAAACCGATTGTCCGAATGTATTGGTGTATTAAAAAAAAATTTACCTACTATTCCAATTACTTCTTTTGTATTTAATTAACTAAATGTAAAAATTATTTGTTTTATCTCTTGAAAACTAAATACTTTATTGTAGTTATAAAGATCAGGAGAAGAAAATCTTTCTGCCATGTGTCTTTATTAATCTCTCTCAATTTGAACTCGTAGGTTCATCGTCTTTTCTTTATCAATATCTTTAATTGACTCTAGAATAAGAAACAAAAAAAAAAGAGAAGATGATTAGTAGAAAAGAAATGTTGAACCGTTATAAAAAATCTATAAGTAGTCCAATCAAATCCTTCCAGGCGTGTCGATTATCATCGCGCCCCTTCTGATGACACTGCATTATATAAAAAAAAATCAAACTTTTGCTCTTTACTTTATCTGCCTTTTTCCACTTGACCTCCCGACTAGAAGAAAACTACAAAAAAAAAATATTGAAGATTTCTTGAGCTTTGACTTCTCACTGCAGTATAATAATCGATAAAATTTTTGATTTATCATCACTTTGTTGAGAATCGGAAACGAGAAAATCATTGAGTGCTTGTGGTTGCCAGACTTCATTTCCGGTTTATATTCTCTGTAGTAAACTAGAGCAAGGACAGTAAATTCTCTATATCTCTCTTTCTCTCAATACCTCAACAGGAGGAGCAACAATCCAGGATTCCGATGCTCTTCTTGCCATTAAAGCAGGACTGCAAAGCAGCGCCTCTTCCTCCTCATCTTGTTCCGTATAAAACATTTTTCTCTTGAGCACTTTTTACCCCAAAACAATTGAAAAAAAATTCAATTAGTTCCACAAATTTTGAATTTAGTTTAAATTAAGTTTTAATTATCCTATTTGATTGATTTTAAATATAAGATTTTCAATCAGATTTTCACTATGTTTATAATTTGTTGATTGTCATCGTGTCCTTGAGTGAGAAATTTAGGAACAAGTTCAGCGATTAACCCTGAGGTCGTCGCTGACTTCATTTGCAAGTGACTTGCTCTCTCTCTTTCTTCTTGTTCTCCTTCTCCTTCTTTCTGGGGCGACCTCATCACGAGATTACGAGAAACATTTCGATTTTCGATTCCCGCGACTCCTGGTGAAGAAGTTTGCTCACAGACTGAATGTCCCTGCACGGGTCCGACCGAAATAGAGTGACGCCCCACTATTACTGTGTTTAAAAAAAAAAGTTTAAAAAAATAGCTCAGAGCGTCGCGACGCTTCGACGATGATAGGATGCTGCCAACCTCTTCTCCCTCCTTTCAATCTTATTAATCATTCAAGTGTCAACATTTTTATCTGCTTAAATGTTGATACGATTTTTTTTTAAATATTGAATTCACACAAAAGTATAGAAATGTTCCTCTCATGAGGAAAAAAAAGCGAGGAAGAGGTACTCTATCTCCTTTTTTGGAGGATTTTATATTTTTTGACATTGGTGAAGTTCATGGAAAGGAAAACAATTTATTTTTCAGTCGATTTTTTATTTACAAATTTCTGTTTTAAATTTAAAATCACGATAAGTTGACAAAATTTTTTAAGGGGAAATTTGTATAAAAATTCGAATAGAAAAATATTTTTTTTCTTCTAAATATAGATTATTATAAACGGTTTGAATATATGTATGACAACAAATTTATTTGTATAATTGAACTCTAGTGATAAAAAACAATAATTTTATTTAATTCAAGGTTGACACAGATCAGGGAAATTTTAGAAAGATCTGCAGTTATAATTTTTATAATTAATTTAATTTCAGAAGGTCTCAGAATTTTCATGAAATTATTTATAATTGATTTATCGAATAATTTTACATAAAAGTTTCAAAAGTAATTGAATATTGAAAGAGTTGCAATTACAATGTAGATAAAATTGAATTTCAGAATGTTTTAAATTAAAATTTTTGTAAATTTGAATTTCTGGACTAAATTATTATTAGGTACTTGTAAACCTAATAATAATTTATTATTTTATTTAAAAATAATTATTGATGTTTCGAATAATTTTAAAAATAAAGATATAAATAAAAGTATTGTAAGCAACTTTTTGTGAATTTAATTATTTTTACGAATTGATTAAAAATGCTTTACAGTTATGGAAGAAGTTAGATCTTTTTTTCGAAATTAGCCAAAAATCAGGAAAAAATAAAATAAAATTTTAGTGGTAACCCTGGAATTGTTACTGTAAAATCAAGTCTTCAACTATTTTTGGTCTCAAAATAAATCTGATAAATAAATGTAAAAAATTAGTTTAGGCCTCGGACTCACGCGATTATTGATACCTACTTTTTGAAAATTTTTTTACCTCACATAACTATTTAGCTACTATTTTTAAACATAAGTTACTAATAACACTTATTTTGTTAAAAAAGACACTAATGATACTATTTCTTAAAACGAGATTTTAAATATCAATTTATTTAGTGAAGAAATTAATTTTAAGATTGAAAAAAATGAAAAATAAAAATATCGCAAATTAAAGTAAATTAAAATTTAAATCCGTTTATATTAATTGTCAAACTCTCGAAATTTGATTATAAATAATTGTAGAATTACAAATATTGCCGAACATCTTATCTTGAGATTCAATATGGAGATGCTACTCTCCACCTGCGAACGTTCAGTTGAAAAAACCAGATTTCCCGCCACCTAGTGGCAATCTTGGCGTTCTCAAGTGGAGAAATTGAACCACCATTTTATCCCCCAAGAATTTTTTCTTTAATAATTTTTAAATAAATAAATGAATAATAAATAAATGATTATTTGCAACTGTTATGATAATTTTATGATACTTTTGATACTATTTCTTATTTCTAATTTCAGTCCGAGGTCAGTTTCTTTTTAAATTGAAATCAAATCAATATTTTGATTTTAATAACTTGTTTTAACTGAAATTTTTTTCATTTTGTAGTAAATGTTACTATTTTTAAAAAAAACTTTAGAAGAAAAAAGTTGTTAAACTTATCAAGGAAAGTAGTAAAATTTACTTTAGAAATAATAGAATTTACTCAAGAAGTAGTAAAAATTGTCAAAAATGCGGAGAAATTGCAAACAATCTAGATTTTAGTACGTGCACGGAAAAATATAAAGTGCGACTTTTACTACCTACAATGTAAATTTTACTGTCTCCGTGAAGAAAAGTTTTTAGTATAAAAAATATCTGTAAAGTTCTAAAAGTTCAAATGAATGAAATTCATTTATTTCTACACCAAATTCGAATTTTATTTTATGTAATTTTATGCGTTACGTGTTAAAAAATATTTCATAATGTTTCAAAGTGTTAAACTTATATTTTTAATTCATTATTCTCTCTAAATCTAAATTAGTTAAAAATAACTAATTATTAATAAAATCGTGGCTTACTTTTTACTTCAGCAATTAGTGAAAAATAATTATTTATTAGTTTAGAAAATAACTAATTTATAGGAAATAAATAACTAAAGAAACAGTCAAATTTCACTAATTGAATTAGTAAAAATTTTAGTTATTTTGACATAACTTAGCAATAAATTTAACTAATTATTAATCATTATTAACTATTTCATTAGTAAAATATTAATATTTAAATCAGTAACTGATTTTTTGCAATCAGATTAGTTATTTTTAACTAATTCAAACTTAGAGAATTATTAATTTAAATTAATGCATTCAGTAAGTTTTGTCGAGAGTTTGGAAAATGTTTAAAGTGTAAAAATATTTTGTTTATTTAAACTTTCAGAATTTTTGGAAAATAATAAAAATTGGTAAACATTTACTTCTGCCGAAGAAATTTATTCTATTAAGGGGCGGAGTAAAATTTATTATATCTGTCAAATATAAAATTTGACAGAAATGCGAACAAAAACTTTAAATATTTTTATTTTTACTATATAAAACGAATAGTAAATCTCACTTTATTCATTTCTTTCCATGTAGAAATTGAATTTTTATTTTGAATAGGAAAAATAATTTATCAAAAACTGATTTGCTCCTACGCGCTTACGAGAGTAGTTAATTTCTTTTTGTCATCATCTCTCTTTTCCGAATGGATTTTTTTATTCACAATAAATTAAAAAAAAGAAAATAAGAAAAAAAATATTTCTACAAATTTTTTGTGCTTGTTCGATTCGCTTTATAAATAGGCAGGAGGACACGGTGATGTATTGCTTTGTATTTTTAGATGATTGTGAAGGTAAAAAATTGGGTTTGTTTTAAAGAATGTTGCAAATGAGTTGCTAATACTTCCCGATTGTTTCGAAATACAATGAAAGAGATATTTTTTTGAGAGATCTCTTTTTTGAATTTTGAATAAGAGATGGAATTTTGTAAATAATATCTCTACTATATAAATGGCACTTCAATAATATAAAGAGTTTTGATTAATTCAAATTCAATTAATAAATAATATAATTTCTTTTTCTATTTATTTTCTTCAATTTTAATATTGTTATAATTAATAATATAATTTATTTTCTCTTATTTCTCTACTTTTTCTTCTTTTAATTATAAGTAATATATAACAATATAATAATTAAATAATGTACAGTAAAATTAGTATTCATTAGCGTAAATTTTGATTGATAATTTTTCTATTTTAATTTAATTTTTGGTCGTATCAAATTGGAAATATTTTCTTAATAAATGACAGGTATTTTTTTGGTTTATTTCGAATAAAAGTGGCATTTTGACTTGGATACATTAATTATTTATACACGGTATTTATATTAATAGAATTGGTTGTCAGAGGTTTTTTCTTTTTAATTTAATGTATTGGAAACATAACTGATTGGGAGGATTTGACATTTATCAAAAGACGAGAGCTGTCTCTTCTTCTTTTGCAACTTGGATAGTTTTGCATTATGTTTATTGTCTTTTACTAGAAAATGCTCTCCTGTATTTTGGTGACCTTCCACTTCGACTACTTTTGGCACGAGACGCTATTGAACATTTAGAAATGAACATTCTTTCGTAAAATCCAATATACTCATACGCCTTCTTTGAAGGAAATTAAATTAAAAACAGAAAATAAAGCACGTGTATTTTTCATTATATTTATTGGCGCTTTGGGAATCATTAAGTCTCATAGTTTTTAATCATTTATTTAGAAAATTAGTTTATTTAAATTTCATTTATTAAATTTGTTAATAAATTAATAAATTATATTTTAATTTATTAAATTTGATAAATTAATTTTGTATTTAAATTATTTTTAATATAATAAATTAATAATTTTATTCAATAATAAATTAATAATCAAAATTACTAATCTAAATTATGAATCTAAATTTATTAATTTAACGATTTATTTATTATTATTAATTTAGGAAAACCTTTTTTCCACATTTTTGCTTGCAGTTTTTTTGTACCGAAAATATTTCCCTAAAGAATTTCCTTAAAACTAATTCAATGCAAAATAAGAAATTTTTTTACTTTTGTTCTAAGTGCAGTAAGAAATATTTAAAATAATTCTAATATCTATTCATGCACTATTGAAGCTAAAAAAAATTTTCTATTAAAAGTCTGTTTTTCTAAGAAAAATTCCAAAAATACAAAAAAAAGATAATTATACGTGAAGTTAGGTGAAGGAATTTTTCCATTTTGTCCAGGGGGAAATTAGGCTTTAATAGGAGCCTAACTAGAAAACTACTAAGACTCATTTTAGAAACCTATTTGAAATACCGAACAAAATAGAAAAAGTCCACGTATTTTAAACACTAGGGGAGAGTGGGGCAAAATGGGGTAGGCGGGTCAAATGGGGTACCTCTGTTTTTCCATGATAGGTACCTTTAATTTTTTTTCCCTCGACATATATCATTCATGTTGATAAGAAACTGTTATTAATTATGAAGACACTCCAAAGAAATTTTTTTTTTTGAAAGTTATACAACTTTTAAGTTTTAAGCAAAAAAAATATGAATTTTTTTCAAAATTAAAGTACTTACCAAACTTTTTGTGATAATGCATTTAGTTTGGCAAGTGTGGGATCTTTTTCAGTACTTATTCTAGAGTAATTTCCAATAGAATAGATTGTTTAATTGTTTACAATAACTTGTAAACATTGCATTTTGTTTTAATATGCAGTGTGGGGCAGAATGGGGTACCTAAGTGTGGGGCATGCCGGAAGTTACGCCGTTTCATTAAAACTATTTAAAAACATTATATTATGCATATTTAAAGGTTTCCTGCAGAAGAATCGATATTTTTGCTTCGAGGAATTTATGCTATCGATGTTTCATTATCG